TATCCCTCTCTCTTCCTTCCTTTCTTTCCTATTTTTATTCTCACGCGTATAGGCGGCGGGGGACGAGGAAACCTCCACAGACCGAACAACAAAACTCTGCTGTGGACTCCATTTACGCGGTTGGATGGTTATTTAAGGGACACTTACTACATTATTCTTTTTTTTTCTTTTTTTTTTTTTCATGCGTCATGAAAACTGATGTTTTTTTAGTTATGTCATTTAATACTGAATTAAACGGATCTCCCTCCCTTTATTGATGCAGTCAACGGGTTCTTTCTTCATTTCATTCTTAAGAGAAAAGCTAAACGATAAAACGGTCTAGTTTATGTTTTCCGCCATCTTCATGCACTTCCCTTTCTTCATTTTTCCATGTATTCAATCCCTCTATTCAATCCCTCTATTCAATCCCTCTTACAGTGGTTTATAGTTTATCTTTGTTATTAGCCAAGCGGTTCAAAAGATCATAAATGTAATGTGATTTTGTCATAAAGACGCCAGATTCTGATAACATTCGCTTACCAGATAAATGAACATGAAAAAACCAAGCAAATATACACATTATTGTCACTTAGCTGAATCGATAATACTGTCTGCTGATGTTAGTGGATAAATATTGCCATAAATATACTTACAATAATGACCTGTGGCCATGTTGACAATTATCTCTGACAGTCTTGGTATTAAAATCGCTAGGGAGGGGAGGGAGGGGTTAGGGTTAGCCTCTGTTATTGTTATGATTYACAMCAARATACTTCTAGTATMCAAATATCACCATAAAACGAATGTCAGATGGTMGAAAACTCTAATATTAGCGTTTAAAGTGCTTAGAAAAGTGAGATGGTCAAAGATTCGAAAYGARCAGTACAATTTATARACTTTCGGTAAACTGAAAATGGCCGCCTCCCGGCCCTCGCGGCCCCCAAAGCATAATGGTGCACCCTTGGCCTTTAAGATTCTTCAAAAAAAATCCTATTTGATTGATTGATATCTTATCTCATAATTATCCCTGCTAGTACGTGTGAAGGGTGTCAATACTGAATAACATAATGAGGTGTTTTGTGGGGTTAATTTAAAACGAACTTCCCGTCGCCGTCTAAGAAGAAAAAAGAATTCTACCGAAGTGCATTTTGTTTTTCCTGTCACTATCGGGATAATAAGCAGATTTTTTTTTGTTTAGATTTTTTTCTAAATGCTTTTTCCTCAGGCATCTCGGGTTTTCTATTGAAAGAAAAACGGAAGAAAGCCGTGTTATTTTTCCCGCTCTCTGACACAGGAATCCCRTTGTAGTTAAAGAGGAACTAAACGCCTACGAAAGAGGGTAATTGACTAGTAAAACACCGCGTATCCCCTACAAAGTACACTTCACCACGACAGACTGAGAAAGGTACTTAGCTTGATGGGTCTCAACTTGACATCGATTCTTTAGGTTCTTTATCTTGGTAAGCAAAATGTTCTTTGATATTTTTATAGAGTGTAAACAGGTTTATTTTAAGAGCGCTGTTAAGTTTGTCTTTCTGCAATCAATTATATCCTTCTCTTTGCGTCTATTAGTCTTCTTTCAGTCTCGGTTTATTGCTCAATGACTTTTTCTGTGATACCTTTTCTGGGGTTTCGCGCAAATTTTTTGTTTTCCTTTAATTATTCCTTCTAGCCAATGATTCTATCGCGGTTTTCTAGTTTTGACTGCTTCAGTAGCCATGAGTCTTATTTTTGTTCTTATGATGCAACTACCTTTCTTATTTTTTTCCCTCTCATTCTATCTTTTAACCGTTTGCCTAGAAGACATTTTTTGTGCGTTTCTTGTGATCGCATTGCAAATTTCCAATGTTTGAACTTCCTCACTGAACGCGACCATGTCTGCCTTCGAATAAAATGCGCATATACTTATTCTTGGTTTTATCGTATTAAACTTATAGATTATAGGATATATATATTTCAATTTTGAAAATTACCTTTGGATAAAAACACTGACAAAAAGCCGCTATTTATTTCTGACAATTAAGGGTGATTTTTCTTGGTTTATGCCAATCTTCATTTAGAAGTATTTTCAGTGTTTTTAATCAAGTCTTTTGTTGTTACTTTCTTTTCAATGATGATTGACTATCGGTGCTCAAAATGGTCAACATGAACGATGTATATGAGACCTGTCATTAAGATGCTGATCAAACATTCTCGAATATTCTGGCCTTTATTAAAACGCCTGTAGACTGCTAAACAAGTGGAGATACAATTTCTCTTTACTCATCTTGTGTGTGATAAGATATATTAACAGTTTTCATAAATGATAATACAGGAAAATGTTTATTCAAGTGCCGTTTTTTCAATATTCTTAAATACATCTTTCCGGCCTGAATTATCAGTAAGGAGTTCATGATTTCAAAAAAAAAAACTGTCTTGCTGTGAGAGCAAGCACTCGAACAACAAATTGATTATACCGCGAACTGTTGCAGTTCAATTTTCTGGTCTACTTCAAGGCCTCTCGACCATTACTTAATTTGATGTCCGATAGAAAAGAACAATTTTAGTTTAAATGAGTAAACGAACGACTGATTGTGTTCCAAGAACGGATATGAACCTTTTAAAACGTCTATTGTGTCGATTTAATTTAAGTGATGGGACTCAATTAAGTTGACCGCTAAAAAAAAACACAAAAAATGACATTGTTTGATTCATATGTTGACTGAGAAATCCCTTGTAAAAAACATCCCTTGTAAAAAACATCCCTTGTAAAAAAACATCCTTCTTGTAAATCGTTTCATTTTATCAATCGGAGTCTAAAACAGAAATAACACAATTGCAGATTAGTCAACACATGCACCCCGGTGAGAACTGACCAATGGCTGTACTTTACAGSCTGGTCTCTAGACATAATGGCAACATTGAATCATTTGAAAGCTGTTCTTATGCAATATTGATAACATAAATATGGTGCTCGCACACTTTTTATCCTTCTAAAAAACTTATTTTATAATAGTTTACTAGACGACATCAAAGATTTATCACCGAGTTCTTAATAAATATTTGATTTGATGATTTAGTATAAAAACCTTACGATCAAAATAGTTTACATCAGCTAGATTATACTTTTGACGCAAAATAACCTAAAGCAACTGCAAACAATGTACGTATAAACAGCAGGCCAAAAGACGCAAAGTGTTTTTTGAAGATCAGATTTTAGTCAAGAAGAAGGCGTTTTTCAGTTCTTAAAGGTCAGTTTTTGTGGCGTGTCTTATCTYAAGCAACCCAGTGCTTTTCAGGTAGTTTCAAAGCCTATAGATTTTTGATTTCTCGACGACTATTTCAAACCGCAAGGAAACGGCTGCCATGATTTCTGAGGTTTTAAAGAGTGCCTTTTTTTGTCATAACGCATGTGAATCATTTAGTTTAAAACACGATCTCGAGTGTTTTAAACGGCGGCTTCAAAAACTCCAACACTAATTTGAAACTCAAATCCGTTAAAATTCTTGGAGAAATTGCCGTAAAAATAAGTTTTGAGATAAGTGGGGCAAACTGATCATGCGCGAATCACTTTACAAAGCATTGAATACGCATAAAGTAAATTAGAACCGCTGTTGGCTGTTTACTGCAATCGGTTGACATCGTGCATTGGTCAATGATCAGGTATCAAACCTGAGACCTTTGCTAGTGTCATGGACCTTTATATCTGATAAAGGTCACCCTTATTAGTATTCTTTATATAGTTTTATCAGATATAAAGATCCATACATGTGACCAAATAGGCTCTTTCCATTGGCCTAATAACTCATAAATTATGTATGAGTTTTTGAATGGTTAATAGTGTCTTTGAGCTGTTTAGTGACAAGTATCTCATTATTTACTGTTTGCAATTTTTCCATTTTTATTTTGTCGGTTTTCTTCAGGCGATCTATAGCTAATTAAAGTGACTCTCTCAAAAATAATATTGAGCTTTGAAAGGGGATAGCGCTTTGAGAACAAAGTGAGTACTTGCAAATATTTTTATCTGATCTTTATACCTACAGGAATATAACAATCAATCACAGGAAACATGATTATATAAAATATCAATGGATACTGAAAAATATAAGAAATTCCGCAATTATGAACCACATCGTCTTGATCACATCTAAGATAAATAAAAATGATTAAAAAGTAGTGACTCTTACTGGCACGTTAGTTCGTCACTTAAAAAGTTCAAAGATAAGCATAATATAGCTTTTAACAGCTCATTTATTGCCGATCCTTTTACAGTTCAAAATATTACATCAAGCAAGAACTATGACATATCTTATCGACGAGCAAGATCATATTACGAGCAATTTATCAACAGATTATAATATCTTAGATTTCGTGTGATATCTTTATCCATATGGATCCTCACGGTACTCGTTGTGAAATTATGACATCGCGCTGTGTATGACGGGTAATATTTCCTCAATTAAACTCACAAACAAAACGTTTTAATCTTTTTTTGTTTAGTATTCAAAAATATCATAAGACAATGTGTATGGGATCAATATAAAGTATGTTTCCCCGTATAATTTGACCTCGCCCATTTTTCCAATCATTTGAGATCACAGAACGATGGCAAAACTCTAAGAAATGACATCGAAACGAAGAGGCCCGTTCCAAACTCCCGGAGTTTCCCTGTAGGTGCTTTAGGATGTTTTTTTCACAATTGGACGAATTTTAAATCAGTGTAGGGAAAAACGTGTTGACATTGGCCATGTCATTTTTTGTTAAAATTTTTATGGATTAATTGAATCAGGATTTTGGTCTATTCTACCTACGTTTTGACATGCAAAAAGAAAGAACGTCTGGTTCTGGTATATTTAAGGTTATATTTGTTCATATAGGTCAATTTGTTAGTTAAAGGTTGATAGATATGTGATGCTTATCAAAGATTAAAACTGACGTCGAAACCCCTCAGGATATGAATACGATAAATGCCTTATTGAAATGCTCGTTAATGAGATTCTTTACACCTGCAGGAGAAGAAAGAAGCCAGCTAAGACGACGTTATAAGAATACTCTTTTAAGTCGTTCAAATATCGATATGAAACATTGAATATCATTTCACAATTTGATTGTTTTGAATCTTAGGGTATGCTAAGAACAACGACGCAAATTGCCAAGACTGCGATCAACTTATCCTAGCAACATTCAATATTGATCAAATTGCTTTCCAAATACTACGCTCTCTTATAATGGCTTGTTTGTCCTTATTATTAATTAATGATGTTCTCCAAATTAACAGGAACTGGTTTATTTCTAATCGCGCTCAAAGATTCAGGAAGCAGTCAGCATAGCTTCAATTTGACCCAATTTTTGATATTTAATAAATGAAGGTTGAAACATGCGGTAGAAATTCTTTTACTAATCAACTTGGACGATAATTTGAACCGACACAAATACATCACGAGAAAGAAATGAGATAATGTAATTATGGCGACCACACGATGATGCGTCATACACTGAACCATTAGTAAACAATGAATCTACGGATAAAATAGCGCAAATACAGTGATCTCTACAATAGGCGTGAGGAAATACTTGCAGAATACTCCACAATTAAGAGTTATACGGGTTTGATTTGAGTAGCGCTAAAACCATGTAAAATATTCTTTGGCTTCGATCCATGTAAACGCAGGGGATTTGAGAAAATATGCTAAAATTGAGTAGAATTCAGGAACAGTTTGCCAACTGAGGCCAGTACAAAGCATTGGAGTAAATTCAATATTGTGTAATGAAAATCGAGAATCTATTGCGGAAAAAAAATAATTTTATATTTTAACTTCACACTTTTGTAATCACAATAGCAGAACATTTTAAGTCACAATAATTTAATGAAATACGTGATTGTTTACACCAATGTAATAAATATTTGATAATCGTTTCGACATTCTAAATTATAGATAATTACAAGCACTCACGATTATATAACCTTTGCTACGCATCGAGCCGAGAGCTGTAGTATGAAAAAAACGTTTCGCCTTCCCGGCCTCTTTATACTACTATACTCGGCTCGATGCGTAGCAAACGTTATATAATGGTGAAAGCTTGTAATTATTTATAATTAAGAATGTCGATTTCAAACTTTGCATATGCAAGAATAAAAGATCTGGCTAACTTACGTTTCAACTTCACATCTTAACAGCTCAACAATCGCAAAAAAAAAAAAAAAAAAAAAACGAAAAAGACCTAGGGATTCTGGGATTGATATACTATCACTCTGCATTATCTGCAGACAATGAATTTATTATGTCCACTTTTTGACCAATCAGAATTAAGATAGTAAAATAAAACTCGTAATACTACCCATGATTGATTCAATTCATTGACACAAGCCAGTGCATGAAGATCTTTCGTGTGCAGTTGATGCAGGTTTTAATCTAATCATAATAATAATTTTGTTCAAAATGTTTTTGTTTAAGTTCTTTATCAATATCCATCAACATGATATCTATTTTCTCGTCAATAGGTTGGTACAACAGAGTTTTCAACAGAACATCCACTACTCTTGGATATACTTGGGYAAACGTATACATTGATTGACTTGACCAGAATATCTCAAGCTTTTCCAAGAATACTCGCGGAAAGATACAGTTTGATCAACAATGAATGTCAGCGTAAACAACTCAACATCTTTCAACAACAGTCTTACAAACCCTCAAGGACTGCATTGCGTTGATACGTCATTTTCCAAGGCCGCGGTGATAGCTAAAGTGTTTTTCCTCTCTGTTATCTTGGCTGTTTCCTTTGTGGGAAATATTCTCATCATCTTCGTTGTCTATAAAAACCATACTCTTCGTCGGACAATCAACTTTTTCATCGTGAATATAGCTGTATCAGACTTGATTTTGCCAACTTTACTTCTTCCGAGAGAGATTGTAGAGACGGTAAGGCTGGACAAGGCTTGGTCTATACACGGAGTCACCGGTCAAATCGCTTGTAAATTAATCTACTTTTTATCTGATGTCTCACCAACAGTATCCATTCTGAGCTTGATATTTATGACTATTGATCGGTTTTTAGCCGTTGTATTTCCTTTACGAGTGACTCTCATGAACTCCAAGCGCAGATACTGTCTTATCGCTCTGACCTGGATCATTTCTGCAGGGTTTTTCTCTCCATATTTCTACGCAATGAATGTATCAAAAAGAGAAGATGGTAGGAACTACTGCATGCTGCTATGGAGTCGCGACATCTCTACACATATATCGATACACAAAGCCTTCAGTGCAGCAATATCCATATTATTCCTCGTCATCCCATTCTCCACTTTAACTGTTCTCTATTCCATTATACTCATCAAAACAAGAACAACTCCAGAACTGATTCGTACTAAGACTTGTGAAAAAGCTCGGCTCAGGCAAAAGCAAACAGCGAAGCGCGTCACTCTAATGGCCTTTGTGATCGTCTTGATATTTGGTTTGTGTTGGGGCCCTTACAACATCCTACTTTTCCTTTTGATCTTTGTTTGGAACTGGAAGCGTCCCTCTTTCTGTCATTGGCCGACATTTTTGTTTGCTGTTCAATTTCTGTGTTATTCTAATGCGGCAATTAACCCGTGTGTGTATTTCATTTTCATCAAAAACTTTCGTCGAGGATTGATGAAGCAATTAACAAGTAAGAAAAGTAGATTGAAGCAGCAACTACGTATTCAGAATCTCCAGTCCGAATCACCACTTCTAACATCCATGGGAACTACTGCAAAAAACACAAACATTTCCTCGGCGGAAACTTGTATATAAATGGTATTTAATGAGTACTTGTAGAGTAGTTTAACAAAGTTATAAGTGTACGTGGTATCTCTCAACAACTGGTTAGAAGGCCTAGGAATTACTTAATCAATGGTAAAGCAGTCAACTAAAAAACACTCCATAAATAATTCAGCGAAAGAACTCAGAACTCAGGATAATAAGCTGAAATTATCATTAGAGTTTTAAAATAGCCTTATGTTGAAATCTGACCAATAAGAGGACAATTTTGAAATTCAATCATATCACAGTAATATGGTAATTTGCAAAGTACTCATAACAGGCCGTGAACAAGTGACCATGAGGTCGTGACTTGGCTTTTATGTGCTGAAATATTTACAAGAAAAATGAACAACTAACTTCCCTATGGTTGCCTAAAGTCGGGAATTTACATTAAACTGCATGAGTTACCAATTTCTAGCTAGGAGACTGCTTCATGCTGATGTTTTCTTCATCAGTGATGACATTGTACAGCAGACTAAAACACAAATACTTGTTATGAACTTGCTGAAATCACAAAAACATATTATGATTATTCCATGTGGGATGACTGCTAAAAATGTGCATAATTAGTTGTAGAACAATACGCATGCTCAGTAGAAGTTTGAATATTGATGTATCCGTTTGATATTTATTATTTATCAAGCAGTTTAGCTATATGAAAACTTTCCAGTCGTTAGCGAAAGTTAAGAAATAAATAAGATTAACTTAACCGGTTCTTACAGCTAATGAATATTGAAGGTATTTTCTGCTAATGACGTCCATATCAAACAATTGCCTAACATTCGCGCGGGCTACCTGTGTTTTTGTGGGATTCCTTATTTTCAAGGATGGGAGGGGACTATGACAAAATTATAATGACCGACATTCTGTAAGTTTTAGCCATTTTCAAGCACTAAAAGGTGGAAAAAACTTGAAAAAAACTTTCTAACGTACTTCCTTATAAGGTAAGATTACCATATATGGTCAGCAAAAGTTTGGCAAACGAATGAATTTTTCTCTGAGGCAATTGTTTGAAATGATGTTTGCTTTAACGCAAAGCATCATGGTATTGATAAAATAATCAAGATGGCGGCTGCATTCTAAAGATTTCTAAATCAACGGAGATTCGATGCAATATTACTCTTTAAAAATACATAAGTTAAATAATTGAAGTCTATTCCTAATATAAAATTTATGAACCTTTCTCGGAAAAATGTTTTCCCGAAAAAAAGTTTGAAAACAAAGCCAAGATATTGTTTTGGTCAATACCATGTACAGCTCCTTCAAGTCATTTCCGGAAACGACCGACTTTCAATCGATTCGCAATGTTCTGATTAAATAAACTGAGTAAATTGTATTACTTAACTTTTTACGACTCTCTTTCAGTAAACACCAAAAATGACCGATTTTTGATGAAAATGGCCAAAAATGACCGATTTTTGATGAAAATGCATGGGCTATAGCCCACCAAAATGGCCAAAAATGACCGATTTTTGAT